AGGGGATGTTCCCTGGGGTGCAGGATGGCCTGGGTGGTGTGGGGTGAAGAGTTGCTTTGTAAGTTTCAGGATAGCCAGCAGGGTTATGGGGTGGTGATGGGCTGCATTCTGGGGTGTAGGCTGTTCCACATGGCCTGTGTGTGGAGGAGTCGGCCCAGAAGCCCAGGGATGGATGTGGGGTGAGCCTCTGGCTCTCAGCCTGCTGTGTGGCCGTGTCTTCACAGGGGCCGGTTTGGCCAGGTCCACAGGTGCACAGAGAAATCCACAGGCCTCCCACTGGCTGCCAAGATCATCAAAGTGAAGTGTGCCAAGGACCGGGTGAGGCATCTGGCCAGGCTGGGTCCCTCTTGCCAGCCTCAGGATTCCTTCCCTTCTCTCAGGGCTCCTAGGTTCCCATGCTGAGCTGGAAATTCTACTTTTCCTGCTCTTTTCCGGGATTCCCACACTCCAGTCAGGAAGTTCCCTTCACAGCCCTGGGTTCAGACCCACCCACCATGTGCAGGTGTCCAGGCACCGCACCCTGCGGAGCCCGGGACAAGAAGGTTCTGTCCTTATTGGGCCTTGGGTTTCCTGTCTGTGAGATGAGTGGGTCACACTCAGGTCCTTTGTGTTGTAGTCTGGTTTGGGTGTTGAGTCAGGGAGACCTGGTATGAGAATAGGAAACTGAGGAAGGATGCGGAGTTCTGTGTCTGTCCTGGGAGGTGCAGGGGGCTTCTATTCCTGACCCATTCGCTTGGAAATCCCTCTGTCCTCTGGTTCCCCAAGGAGGATGTGAAGAATGAGATCAACATCATGAACCAGCTCAGCCATGTGAACCTAATCCAGCTCTATGACGCCTTCGAGAGCAAGCACAGCTGCACCCTCATCATGGAGTAGTGAGTACTGGAGGCGGGGCGGCCGCCTTGGCTCAGGCCAGGGCTCGGTGCTGGGGCTTAGAGCCTTCATTCGAGGCAAAGCCCTCTCTGTCCTTTCCCCTCCCTGCCACATCCAGGGTCATGCCATCCTGTCTTCTCTGGCTTGGCTTTTTGACCTCCAATATGAAATATGGAGGACAAAGCCACTTTGTCACAAACCAGTGGCCAGTAAGCCTGATGTGACCTGCAGGTGTATGTATGTCAATTGTCCTATACTATTTTCAGTAATTTTTTGAAAATTAAATTGAATTGAAAATTTTTTTAGAGACAAGGTCTCTGTTGCCCAGGCTGGAGTACAGTGGTGTGATTACAGCTCAGTGCAGCCTTGAACTCCCAGGCTCCAGTGATCCTCCCACCTCAGCCTCCTGTGTAGCTGTGACCACAGGCACATGCCACCACACCCAGCTAATTTTTAAAACTTTTTGTAGAGATGAGGTCTTGCTATGTTGCCCAGGCTGGTCTTGAACCCCTGAACTCAAGTGATCCTCCCACCTCAGCTTCCCAAAGTGCTGGAATTACAGGTGTGAGTCACCACACTCTGCCTATTTTTAGTAATGTGGAATTAGTTGTTAACCATTGGAAATAGTTTAGCTTCACATTAAAACCTAGATATCTGGCTTTTCTTGAAAATGGAAAAGATGCAGTAAATGCCAGGCCTGCCTTTCCAAGTGGAAATGATGTGCTGGAGTCCCAGGGACTGCCGTTTGTAGACAGGGTGACCAGGCTTCCTTTGCCACAATCCCCACCACTCCCAACCGCCCTAGAACTGGGGCCAAGGGCTCAGCAGTCGTTCATATTTGCGCTTGTGTTGCTGTTTTCCTTCCAGGCAGAGGTGAGGAGAGTAAAACATTTGTCATGTCATGTCCCTATCAAAAGTGGAAAAACAAAAGATAAGCAAAAGACTATATGTTGCTTCGGCTGGGCACGTTGGCTCGCGCCTGTAATCCCAGCACTTTGGGAGGCTGAGGCAGGTGGATCACGAGGTCAGGAGATCGAGACCATCCTGGCTAATATGATGACATCCGGTCTCTACTAAAACAAACAAACAAACACAACAACAACAACAACAACAAAAAACTAGCCAGGTGTGGTGGTGAGCACCTGTAGTCCCAGCTACTCAGGAGGCTGAGGCAGGGGAATTGCTTGAACCCGGGAGGCAGAGGTTGCAGTGAGCTGAGACTGTGCCACTGTACTCCAGCCTGGTGACAGAGCAAGACTCTGTCTCAAAAAAAAAAGAAAAGAAAATGTTTGCTTCACGTATGGCCAGATCAGCCCACTTAGCCTTATGCCGCAAAGGTCTGAGTTGGCCTCCCTAGGCAAATGAGTTCGCGCCCTGGTCAGGATCATCAGCCCTGGAGTGTGCCTGGATCATCAACATTGATGGCCATCCCCTCTTCCCTTTGACCTGACACTTACTTTTTACCACCCCTAATCTGTGCTGGGGGTGGACTGGAGCAAAGGTCCCAATAAAATCCCAATGGCAGGCCTGGTGTGGTGGCTCATGCTTGTAAACCCAGCACTTTGGGAGGCTGAGGCGGGCAGATCACCTGAGGTAAGGAGTTCAAGACAAGCCTGGCCAACATGGCGAAACCCCGTCACTATTAAAAATACAAAACTTGGCCAGTCACGGTGGCTCACGCCCGTAATCCCAGCACTTTGGGAGGCCGAGGCGGGCAGATCACCTGAGTTCGGGAGTTCAAGACCAGCCTCATCAACATGGAGAAACCCTGTCTCTACTAAAAATACGAAATTAGCCAGGCCTGGTGGTACACGCCTGTAAACCCAGATACTCAGGAGGCTGAGGCAGGAGAATTGCTTGAACTGGAAGGTGAGGTTGCGGTGAGCCAAGATCATGCTTCTGCGGTGAGCCAAGACCATGCACTCTGGCCTGGGCAACAACAGCGAAACTCTGTCTCAAACCAAAAAATCCAAAATTAGCTGGGTGTGGTGGCAGGCGCCTGTAATTCCAGCTACTCAGGAGACTGAGACGGGAGAATCACTTGAACCTGGGAGACAGAGGTTGTAGTGAGCTGAGATCATGCCACTACACTCCAGCCTGGGTGACAGAGCGAGACTCCATCTCAGAAAAAACACACAAAAAACCCCAGTGGCAGTGGCAGCAGCCCTGTGACCCACGGAGTATGACTGTGGGCCTACCAGGCTGGCGTCTTTTGGCCTCATGATGACAGTAGACAAGCCCTGAAGAGCCTTGCTCAGGCTGGTGCCTGCCTCTCCCTTTGCTCTGGCAGTGTGGATGGAGGTGAGCTCTTTGACCGGATCACAGACGAGAAGTACCATCTGACCGAGCTGGATGTGGTCCTGTTCACCAGGCAGATCTGTGAGGGCGTGCATTACCTGCACCAGCACTACATCCTGCACCTGGACCTTAAGGTGGGTTCTGCCCTGGGCACGCAGAGGAGGGCCCCTGGTGCTTGAGCCCCTGGCATGCTCTCATCATTGACAGCTCTGTCCACAGACAGCCCTGGCTTCCATTCCTGGCTCTCTATCTCCGAGTTCTGGAGTCTGGGACAGGCCACTCTTGCTGCCTCTGGGGGCTGTAGTTCTTCCATCTGGATAATTGTACCTCTTTTAAGTGTTATTTGAAGATTGAGTGAAACAGTGAGCTTTTCTTCTTTACAAAACAATGAGCTTTTCTTCTTTAAAAATACCTTTAAGATTAGTTTTTTGAAGAGTTCAAAAGGGAACATAGGCTGTGGTAACAAATATAGACAATAGAGTAGTATGTAAAATACACAGTGAAAGTTTCTCCCTCCAGGCCTCCATGCTGAGGGGACTTCTCTGTGAGCAAGCTTGTATGACTCACAGACACACAAAAGAGACCCTACAGTGCATTTCTCCCTCCCTCCCTCCCTTCCTTTCTTTTGCTTTCTTTCTCGCTTTTGTTTCTTCTTTCCCTTTCTTTCTTTTCTTTTCTTTTTTCTTTCTTTCTTTCTCTTTCTTTCTTTCTTTCTTTCTTTCTTTCTTTCTTTTCTTTTTCTTTCTTTCTTTCTTCTTTCTTTCTCTCTCTCTTTCTTTCTTTTTCTTTCCTTCCTTCCTTCCTTTCTTTCTTCTTTCTCTTTTCTTCCTTCCTTCTTCCTTTTCTTTTTCTTTCTTTCTCTCTCTTTCTTCCTCCCTCCCTCCCTCCCTTCTCTCTCTCTCTCTGTCTCTGTCTCTCTCTCTCTCTCTCTCTTTCTCTCTTGTCTTTCTTTTTTGGAGACAGGGCCTCCCTCTGTTGCCCAGGCTGGAGTGCAATTGTGCCATCATAGCTCACTGCAACCTCAACTGCCCAGGCTTAAGTGATCCTCCCACCTCAGCCTCCCAAGTAGCTAGGATTACAAGCACTGCCACCACACTTGGTTACTTTTTGTATTTTTTATAGGAACAAGGATTCACCATGTTGCCCAGGCTGGTTGTGAACTCCTGGACTCAAGCAATCCTGCCTCAGCCTCCCAAAGTGCTTGGATTACAGGCGTGAGCCACCACATCTGGCCCACATCTTGTTTTTAATCTTGATTTTGTTAGTAACACAGTATAGACATCTTTCTTCATTCTCTATAAGGCTGTGTGATACTCTATGGAGTGAATACACATTTGAATTCCACTTTTTTTGTCTACTAGGAGTGCCCTGGGAGTGTCAGGTACATAACGCCCTGGGCACCGTGCCTGGCTGATAGCAAGCACTTGAGAAACGGTGGCTGTTTCTCTGATTTTCCACTCCTCTGGGCCAACAGGAGGGTGTTTCTTTACAACTCATTTCGGGAAGGGGGTGAATGTTGGCGACTTCCCACAGAAGAAGGGCGGTGAGTTGACTGCATCTCTGAGGGTGCACATTGCCCCTTCTGACCATCTTTCCCAGTGGACATCAGACTGTAAGGTGGGGTGCTTGGAAAAAAAGGGTTGGCGGGATTGGCTTTAGGCCCCTTTTACTCATTAGAGCTCACTCCAAGCATCCTGCACCAGCTGCTCTGGGGTGGGCAGCCAGGGAAACCTCAGGAACCTGCCCTGTGATTCCGGGGCAAAGACCAGCCTTCGGGGCACCGCCCGTGGCTGCAGCAGAGAGGACATCACTGCTGAGGCTTTTTCCCAGCTGGGAGCAGGGCTGTGGGGGTTCAGCCCCTTCCAGTTGTGAGACTTGGAGAAAGTTCCTTAAGCTCATCAATTGTGAAATAGGGAAAAATCACACCTACCTCCTAGGGTGTTGTCTTAATTAAATATAGAGAAAAAGCTCCAGAATTACAGTGTCTGAGACAGTAGCCATGAGCCACATGTGGCCACTAAGCACTTGATATGTGGCTAGTGTGACTAACTGAACTTTACATTTTGTTAATTTAAATTAATAAACTGACCCTTGATTCAGTTATTGGAAAACTATTTGGAACAACTTGGATATATGAATTTACGTTTCAACTCTAAATTTCTTGAAATCTAAATACAGATCAAATATTTCTGATGAAAACTTAAGGTCTGAATTGAGATACACTGTACATGTAAAATATACACTGGATTTCAAAGACCTAATATGAAAAATAATGGACACAATCACATCAATATTTTTGTATTGATAACTTATTGAAGTGATAATATTTCAGATATGTTGGGTTAAATAAAATACATTATTAATCTGTAATCCCAGCACTTTGGGAGGCCAAGGAAGGATAAGGCCATGAGTTTGAGGCTTGCCTGGGTGACATAATGAGACCCTGTCTTTACAAAAAGAAATTTTTTTTAATTAGTCAGGTATAGTGGTGCATGCCTGTAGTTCTGGTTGGTTGGAAGGCTGAGGCAGGAGGGTCGCTTGAGCCCAGAAGTTGGAGGCTATAGTGAGGTATGGTTGGGTCACCGCACTCCAGCCTGGGTGACTGAGCAGGATCCTCTCTCAAAGGGAGGAAAAAGACACTAGAAAATGAACAGCAAGTTAGACTAAAAGCAACCAGAATGAGGGAAATAAAAATTGTAGTATAAATAATAAAATAAAACAGAAAAACAATAGAGAAAATCATTAAAACCAAAAGTCAGTTCTTTAGAAAGATCAATAAATTGGCAAATATTTAGTTATACTAACCAAGAGAAAGAGAAGTTATCAGGAATAAAAGAGGGGACATTACTACTGGTCTTACAGAAAAAAAAAGGTTTATAAAGAAATATGATAAACAAAATTGTATGCCAATAAGGCAGATCATCTAGATGAAATGGACCAATTTCTAGGAAGCACAAACTAAGAAATTAGCTTAAGAAGAAATAGAAAATATGAATAGATCTGTAACAATGAAAGATTGAATTAGTAATCAAAAACTATCTACAAAGCAAAGCCCAGGTCCATATGGCTTCACTGGTGAATTATACCAAATGTATGTTTGTTTGTTTTGAGACAGGGTTTTGCTCTGTTGCCCAGGCTGAAGTGCAGTGGCGTGATCACAGCTCCCTGCAGCCTCAACCTCCTGGGCTCAAGGGGTCGTCCCACCTCAGCCTCCTGAGTAGCTGGGACTACAGATGAGTGCCCCATGTGTGACTGGTTTTTGTATTTTTTTGTAGAGATGGGATTTCACCATGTTGCCCATGCTGGTCTTGAACTCCTGGGCATAAGTGATCTGCCCACCTTGGCCTCCCAAATTACTGGGATTATAGGCGTGAGCCACCATGCTTGGCTTAAATTTTTTTTTTTAATTATTCTTTCCACAGGTTATTGGGGAACAGGTGGTGTTTGGTTACATGAGTAAGTTCTTTGATGGTGATTTGTGAAATTTCGGTGTACCTATCACCTGAGCAGTATACCCTGCACCCAATTTGTGGTCTTTTATCCCTCAATCTCTTCCCACCCTTTGCCTCTGAGTTCCCAAAGTCCATTGTGTCTTTCTCATGCCTTTGCATCTTCATAGCTTAGTTCCCACATATGAGTGAGAACATACAATGTTTGGTTTTCTATTTCTGAGTTACTTCACTTAGAGTAATAGTCTCCAATCTCACCCAGGTCACTGTAAATGCCATTAATTCATTCCTTTTTATGGCTGAGTAGTATATGGTACTGTCATAAAAATAGGCACATAGACTAATGGAAAAGAATAGAGAACCCAGAAATAAACTCTAATACTTACAGCTGATCTTCAACAAAGCAAACAAAAACATCAACTGAGGAAAGGAAAGGACACCCTATTCAACAAATGGTGCTCGGATAAGTGGCAAGCCACATGTAGGAGAATGAAATTGGATCCTCATCTCTCACCTTATACAAAAATCAACTCAAGATGGATCAAGGACTTAAATCTAAGACCTGAAACTAAAAATTCTAGAAGGCAACATTGGAAAAACCCTTCTAGACATTGGCTTAGGCAAGGATTTCATGAGCAAGAACCCAAAAGCAAATGCAATAAAAGCCAAATTAATTGTATTTTTAAATACAGGGACTGAACAATCTCTAAATAAAATTAAGAAAATAATTTCATTTGTGACAGCATCAAAAGAGTAAAATACTTAGAAAAAAATTAACAAAATAAGTGCAAGACATACTCTGAAGACTACAACAAAATTTTAAAATAATTCAAAGACCTAAACAAATGGAAAGCCATCCCATGGTCATGGATAGGAAAATGTAATATTGTTAAGGTGACTCTCCCATTGATCCACAGACTCAACATAATCCTTAACGAAGTCATAGCTGGCTTCTTTTCAGATATTAATGAAATCCTAAAATTCAGATGGGAATTCAAGGGACCTAGAATAACAAAAACAATCTTGAAAAAGAATAGATTTGGAGGACTAACATTTCCCAATTTGAAAAGTTTCTACAATGCTACAGAAACCAAAACAATGTATTACTGATGTAAGATTAGATATATGCATCAAATTAATACACTTGAGAGTCTAGAAATAAACCATTACATTTATGGTCATTTGATTTGTGACAATGGTGCCATGACAATTCAATGGGAAAATTACAGTCTTTTCAACAATTGTGCTGGGACCCTATGCTACAGAGCTACATGTAAAAGAATGAAGTTGGACCCTTATCTAACACCATATACAAAAATTAATTCAAAATGCATCGTAGATGTAAATTTAAGAGCTACGACTATAAAATTGTTAGAAGAAAACATAGGAATAGATCCTTATGACCTTGGATTAGGCAATGCTGTCTTAGATACGACACTAGAAACATAATCAAGAAAAAAAAGAGATGAATTAGACTTCATCAAAATGAAAAAACTTCATACTTCAAAGGATCCATGAGAAAAGTAAAATAATAGCTCACAGAATGGGAGAAAATATTTCCAAATCATGTATCAGATAAAGGATTTGTATTTAGACAATGGAAAGACAAATAACCAATTAAAAATGGTCAAAGGATTTGAATAGACATTTATCCAATAAAAACATACAATTGCCACTAAGCACAAGAAGTCATTCTCAGCCTCGTTACAGAATTGTAAATCAAAATCAGTATTTCATATCCGCTAGACTGACTATAAACATGACACACAATAAGAAGTGTTAAAGCCCAGGTGCGGTGGCTTACACCTTGGGAAGCCACGGTGGGCGGATCACCTGACGTTGGGAGTTTGAGACCAGCCTGACCAACTTGGAGAAACCCTGTCTCTACTAAAAATACAAAATTAGCTGGGCATTATTGTACATGCCTGTAATCCCACCTACTCGGGAGGCTGAGGCAGGAGAATCGCTTGAACCCGGGAGGCAGAGGTACAGTGAGCCAGTCGCGCCATTACACCCCAGCCTGGGCAACAAGAACAAAACTCCATCTGAAAAAAAAAAGGGGGTTAGCTAGGATATGGAAAATTCAGAACCCTCATACATTGCTGGTGGGGTTGTAAAATTATACATTCACTTTTTAAAAAGTTTGGCAGTTCCCAAAAATGCTAAACATAGAATTACCATTCAGCCCAGCAATTTTACTCCTAGGTATACACCTAAGAGAATTAAAATATAAGTTGACACAAAAACTTGCATACAAATGTTTTTAGTAGCATTATATATAATAGCCAAAAGTGTAAACAACCCAGATGTTCATTAAATTTATTAGTTAGTGGATAAATAAAATACGGTCTAATCCATACAATGGAATATTATTTAGCCATGAAAAGGAATGAAGGACTGATATGTGCTACACAACATGGATAAACCTTGAAAACATTCTGGTAAGTGAAGGAAACCAGACACAAAAGGCCATATGTTTTATGATTCCATTTATATGAAATGTCCAGAATAGGCAAATCCACAGAGAAAGAGAATACATTAATGATTGCCAGAGGGTGGGAAGTGAGGGGAGAATGGACAGGGACTGATGATGGGTATGGGTTTATTTGTTTTTTTGAGGTGATGAAAATGTTCCAAAATTAGATAGTGGTATCATTGCACAACTCTGTGAATATACTAAAAATCACTGAATTGCATACTTTAAAATGGTGAGTTTTATGGTAAAAAACAGTATTAATTGTATTATTCATAATGTTATAAATTAAGTTCACTGTTTCTTTTGACCTTTTTAAATGTGCATGCTAGAAAACTTTATATGTGGCTCGCATTACATTTTTATTGGACAGTGTTATTCTAGATCTTATATAGAAGACATAGAGATTTTTAAACACCATTCTCTCCACCTGTCTGAGGAATTGTACAACCTCATTATAACACGAATAACAATGAAGTCTTCTGTTGGGAGAAATACTAGCAGACATTTACTTTGGAAGCTGTAAAGTGTTTCGTGCATGTTATGTCATTTGATCCTCACACCCTCCCGGGGCACAGGCAGGAAGAGGTTATTACTCCTATTTTACATATGGAGACATTGATTCTTCAGGAATGGGGAGGGACTCATCTAGGGCTCAGAACCAGGTAATGAGCCCCTGTGGCTCAGGCACTGGACCCTGGGTCTGCAAGTCCTGTCTATCACAAGCCCTAGATCTTCATTCAGCTTCTCTCCCCAAGCCTCCAGCACACATAAACCCAAATTTGTCATGCACAAGCAGCGAGCATCCTTCCAGGCTCCCTCAGGGCCTCAGAGCTGATCCAAGTGCTGTAAGAGGAGAGGCGTGCTAAGGCTGCCAGCCTCATGCCGTGGGCCACAGCTGTCACTGCAGAAAGGCAGGGGGACATTCAGCAGCTCTGCTCTCCTTAACCCGCCAGTAATGCTTTGGTGTCACCCCAGGGGTTCTGATGTAATTGGTCAGGGTTGAGGCTTGGGCACTGGGACTTTTTTTTTTTTTAATTTTCTTAGCATTCCAGTATAACATTGGGATTTTAAAAACTCCCCTGATGATTCCAATGTACAGCCAGGTTTGGGAAGCCAGCCCCAAACCAGTAGTCCCACACAAGCCGCTCATGGGCCAAATATATATCACAGAGGTGTTCTGTTGGGCTTCCAGATGTGAGTTTAGATTTCACTTAGTTGTTAACGTTTAAAAGCATGGAATTTTCACATAAAAACCTGAATTCCTAGCCGGGCATGGTGGCTTACCTGTAAACCCAGCACTTTGGGAGGCTGAGGCTGGAGGATCTCTTGACCCTAGGGGTTCGAGACCAACCTGGGGAACATGGCGAGACCCCATCTCTATTTTTTTAATTAAAAACAAAACCAATCAAACAAAAAGCCCCTGAATTCCTGGCTTCTCTTGAGGACTGAGAAACTCTGGCGTTGTGCCTGCACTTCTACGTGGTGACCAGTGGCTGGCACTGAGTAGTGCTGTCCCTTTATACAGGCTGGGAGCCTCCAGTTTTCCAGTGCATGCCAATCCTAATTGTCTCACCAGCCCTTTCATGTATTTTCATTATCTATCCAGTCCCTGCAGGGCTGCCCTGAGCAATTCAGGTGCCTTGAAGGCTGGAAAACGGAGGCCTATAGACAAAGAAGCGAGGCAGCTGCAGACCTCTTTAGCTGTTACTTGGGCTAAGCAGACTTTTTTCTTTCCCAGCCGGAGAACATACTGTGCATCAATCAGACAGGACATCAAATTAAGATCATTGACTTCGGGCTGGCCAGAAGGTAAGGGGGTTTTATTTAGACAACTTAGCAAAATTCCTTGGGATTCTTTGTGGCTCTCTGGGCATGGTTACTGCTGACCCAGCCAATGCTTGAGTTTTGGAACTGATCAAATCCCAAATGCTTGAGTTCTTGTGCACAGAGGCTGGTGGCCTTTGACTTGCAGACAGGCCCTGATGCTCTTGCAGGGGCTGGCTTTGTGCTGTGGGCTCTGCTTCTCCCTAAACAGCTATGGGATTAACTGGACTTCACATCACCTATCAGAAGAGAGAAGAGTGATGGTGAAGGGGGTTGCTGAGCTGGGTGCTAGGCTGCTCAGTTTTGTGGATTCCCCAGGCCTTCCAGGGGCCAGGAGGTACTGGGCTATGATCAGGTTAAATACAAAAAGTGAGTATGTGACAGTGTTGGGTGGTGCCATGGGTGGTTGTTTCTATAACCACTCAGGACTGGTTTAAATCTTGGTGAAATGATGATATAATGCATTACCTGCTGGCAGGGGGGTGGTTACGAGGGTTAAATGAGAAAATACAGAGATAGTGTGGACCCATCCTATCTGGGAGGTTAGGTTCTCAAGTTTCAGAGAATAAAGTAAACATTGTAGGCCCAACACAGTGGCTCATGCCTATAATCCCAACACTTTGGGAGGCCAAGGAGGGAGGATCTCTTGACCCCAGGAATTTGAGACCAGCCTGGACAATACAGCAAGATTTCACCTCTACAAAAAATACAAAATTAGCCAGCAGGGTGGCGAGCACCTGTAGTCTCAGCTACTCAGGAGGCCGAGGTGGGAGGATCACTTGAGCCTTCAGTGAGCTAAGATCGTATCATTATACTCCAGTCTGGGCAATACAGCTAGACCCTGTCTAAAAATAAATAATAAATAAACATTGTATATATATTTTTATTATTATTACTTTGAGATGGTGTCTTGCTCTGTTGCCCAGACTGGAATGCAATGATACAATCTCTGTTCACTACAACATCTGCCTCCTGGATTCAAGTGATTCACCTGCCTTAGCCTCCCAAGTAGTTGGGATTACAGGCACTCACCACCACACATGGCTAATTTTTGTATTTTTAGTAAAAATGGGGTTTCACTAAGTGGGCCAGACTGGTCTCCAACTCCTGACCTCAAGTGATCCTCTTACTTCAGCCTCCCAAAGTGCTGGAATTACAGGTGTGAGCCACCTAATCTGGCCCATTGTATGTATACGATGTTAAAAATCTCATAGTCTCTTAAAATGCTTGGAGCCCAGTGCAGGGTGGCTAACATTGCTGTGCAGCCCAAGGGTGCCACACTACCCACAGCACCACCCAACACTGTCACATCCTCACTTTTTGTATTTAACTGGTCATTTCCTGGAGGGCAGGGATGGTGATGGATGCATCGCATAGCCCAGCACCTCCTGGCCCCAAGACGCCTGCGAAATCCACAAAACTGAGCAGCTCAGCACCTGCTCAGCAGCCCCCTTCACCATCACTCTCCATTCTTCTCAGATAGGTACTGTAAAGTCCAGTCACAGGTATGCTGAACACTGTGCCTCCGGAGGGTTCCCGCCCACGGCACACATGCCCAGTGGTGTGGGTTCTCGGCAGTGGTAGTAGCAGATCTTTGGCATTTCAGAAGGCTTCCCCTAAACCTTCAGGCATCCTCGGTTCATAAACATGGCAGTAGTGTATGCCCAGCTTCCAAGATTCCGCCAGGATTCTGTTTCCCCCAAGAGTGACATTTCTCTGGGAATCACTCTTCTTTTTTTTTTTTTTTGACAGTCTCGCTCTGTCAACCAGAGGCTGGAGTGCAGTGGCGTAACCTCGGCTCACTGCAACCTCCGCCTTCCGGCTTCCAGCAATTCTCCTGACTCAGCCTCCCAAGTAGCTGGGACAACAGGCACCTGCCATCACACCCGGCTAATTTTTGTATTTTTAATAGAGACAGGGTTTCACCATCCTGGCTAGGCTGGTCTCGAACTCCTGACTTGAAGTGATTCTCCCGCCTCGGCCTCCTAAAGTGTTGGGATTACAGGCATGAGCCACTGTGCCTGACCCTGATGGCTGTTTTCCATGAAGAAGTAGTTTTCTTATTTCATGGCCACACGGTGCCCTCCACCACATCCACGAATGGAAGGAAGCACAACCATGGCCCTGGAGGCAGAGTTGTGCGCACGAGCTCAGCTCTGCCTTGCAGCACCTGTCTCCCAGGAGCACCCACACCCTCAGTGCTGGTCTTCCTGGTCACTCCTCCACTGGTTGAAGTGTAAACATTACCCATTTGCAGCGTGATGATCCATTTTCAGTGCCCCATGTGCTGCTGGTGTAACCGCAAGAGGAAGTTCATGTCATCCCCCAGGGCCTTCAGGGTCTCCATCACACAGTGATGAACAGAAGAAAATCTCTGCAACCCAAATACTCAGAAATCACATTCAATCTATCATGTTAGCAAATTGCTTAGTATTTTCCCAGATAATATGCTATAAAATTCAGATGCGTCCCACACGCTTGCACGTTGTATACACTAGGGGAATGTTTCTCAACCTGTTTCATGATCACTGACTGCCCCATAGTGAGCCCTTTTTGACTTTATTTCCTCAATCACCTAGTCCCCCCATGCCATGACATTTAATACCATTGGTGCACTGTGTATCTGTTTATGTGCTGTGGCCCTTTCGAGAGCCACAGACCACTGCAATAGCTAAGATTGTTTTGTCCCTTCAGAACCAATGCTTGTCCCCTGTGGGGCAATATCGTCTTCACTGAGAATGCACACACTGATGTATGCAGTACATTGTCAAATACCTGTTGGCCTGCTGCCACATGAGCATTTGCAGGAACACATTGTGAACGCCAAGAAAGAAGTAACCACTGGACACTCTGAGTCAGGGAAAGCTTCTCTGAGCAGCCAACAGGGACTGGTAGACAGGATTTGCTGTCTGTAGGCAATGCTGCTACACTGGCAAATGCTTCAGCACCAGCCTGAGGGAGTGGGGAGTGAGAGGGGATAGGTTTGATTTGTAATCTTTGCCAATGTTTGCTAACTACAAGCTGCCAAGATGGAATCATTGAAGGCGGAGTTGGGAAGAAAGGCACTCAGGACTCCTGTACACGTGAGGGCCAGCTCCAGCGCAGCACTGCCTGGAGGGGAGGCAGGGGAACCCTGTGAGTTATGGGCTGAGAATAGGGTGCACATCGTGTATGTGCGGGCTGGTTGGGAGAAGATACAGTGGAAGATGAGGGCACTAATGGGGAATCGTGAATGCGAGGCTCACACTTCTGAACATTATCCTGTAGGCTTTGGAGTCTTATCTGGTGGGGAGGTGAAAAGGTCTGTAGGTCAATTTACTAAAAATGAGTGAAGCCAAAAGCCTCCATGCTGAGTGGCTATTTGGGAAAAACTCTCAAATTGCATTTGCTCTCACACCACAGCAAACAACACTGAAGACTTCTGTGATCAAAAGTGGGCAGGTGGGTTCCCCACCAGGGAGCAGCAGATGTCAGCTGGGCATTATGCAGCTCAGTTCGACATCCCCTACCAGGAGATAGCCTCAGATCCCACAGGTTGAGGGCTCAGTCCTCAAGGATACTCCGTCTTCCCCCAGACACTGGTCACAAGTCCAGGCCTCTCGAGCTTCTGATGGAATGTCTTCATGCTAGGGTTCCCATGACCCCCATCTTTGGGTTTGCTTAATTTGCTGGAATGGCTCACAGAACTCAAGGAAACACTATTACATTTATCTGCTTTTATTACAAAGAATACAGGTGAAAAGAGGCATAGGAAGGGGTATGGGAGGAGGGGCATGGATCTTCCAGGCCCTCCCTGTGCACCCCCCTCTCCAGGAACCTCCCCGTGTTCAGCCATCGGGAAGCTCGCCAACCCTGTCCTCTTGGGTTTTTATGGAGGCTTCATTACATAGGCATGATTGACAAAGGCATAGAAAGGTGATTGGAGAAAAAGCCCATGATCTAAACCCAGCAAGGCCTGTCTTTTTCTTAGCATCTCTGTGTCGCATTCCTTTAGGGTAGGGGGACAGGACCCTTTCTAGAATGAGGGTCTTTTGATCCACAGTCAGATTAGAGTCCTGCCTTGGGAAGGAGAAACAAGGACTGGAGAAGAACAGAGAGATTATCTCCTGAGGCCTAAAGTGTCCCAACATTATAACAAGGAATATGCAAGTTAGTAGCCAGGAACATATATATATGTATATAACACCATATATATATATATATAACATCATAGTGCCTAATCCATCCAGAACTGTCAGACAAATTCGTTAACCTGGTCAAGGGCAAGAATTCTGCTGGCGGGACCAGAAGCAGAAGGCAAGATCCAGAAAATAAACATGGTGCCACATGTAAGAACAGGCCACCCATGGAAAACAGCTGGGCACTGGTGATGGGCAGGTGCCCAAAACCCGTGCTAATGCAGGAAACTGCACTCTGTGGGGCCAGGCTGGCAGAGACACAGGTTCTGGCTGTGCAGTGGACAGAAAATGTCAAAAACATCCTCCAGAATCTGGCAATGGGGTCATTCCGCAGTTTTGTTTAGCAAGTTGTTTTTTATCAAACTGCCCTGCTTCCTGGGCATTGTGTCTTTCCAAGAGGGTCTGGGTGGGTTTTGCAGGTTAAGGAAGCATATTCCATGCTACAGAATAACTAAATGTTTGTAAAGACAAAAGGGAATGCTAATTTCCCCCCAGTACAAAGTATAGAAAATAAAGTGTTTCTGGGGGACTATTAGAAGGTGCTGAGATTTTCAGCAGGGCCATGGCTCCTTGTGCAGTGGAGGCCCATATTCGTACAATTCTCCGAGGTCAGGACCTCCAGCAAGAGGGACCAAGGTTAGCCCAGCCAGGAGTGAGAGCCATCAGTGCATCTAAATAGTGACACATCCAGGGTTAAGGCTAAGGACACAGTGGAAATTATCTTAAACAGGTTGGGAGTCCTGACTCCCAGTCCAGTGTTCAGACTGGAATCAGAGCACAAAAGGTCCCATTTCATCAGATCCTTTGGCAGAGTAAGGGGATGCCTACCCCAAGCCTCATGAGGTTACAGCCTCCTATGTGACCCTACAGTCATAGATAGACTTGTGCTAAGAATCTGAAGAGAGCGTTTTGATGGATATTTTGACAGCTTTAGAGTGAATGTCTCAGTTAGCTATTGCTGCTATAGTGCTGTGTGACAAACCACCCCAAAACCAGAGGCTTAACATGATTAATAATTTGTTCCCATCCACACATTTGTGATTTAGCTGGGGGAGTGATATGCTGGACCTAACTTCGACTAGTACTTACTGTATTAACTCATGATAAGGAGTTTTGTAATCCAGTTGTTAAACACTGCCATTAGTAAGAATTAAATTCTATAAGTTTACAATTAAGGAAATCATATTAAAATTGGAGGTACTAAATATTCAGATTCCATTGCTTCCTAACTATGCTGCTGTGCTCTGAGCTTCAGGTTGCTTCTGCCTGTCGTGTCTCTATGGTAGAAATACTCAAGAGGAGGTGCCACTGTGCAGCTCTTCCCACCTTTGTTCAGTGACATCATGATGGTACCTTGACATTGGCCGTGATCAATTTGGCATCTACACCACGGAAATTGCAAATGCTATGAATCAGGGCTTTAAAACAACAACAACAACAGACAGATGATTGTGATGCATTTAGTCACATACCCCTGGTTGGTAGTCGCTGAGCTAGACTGGGCACAGTTGGGCTTGAATCCAGGGTGCAGCTCAGTGAGAGCAGGTCTGCTCCGTGCGCCCTCATTCTCATGGTGATGGTGAAGGAGCAAGAGGACAAGCTCTGATGGCCTAGGTTGGCATGGGCCCACTGTCAGTGGGGTGGGGGGGTGATATATTCTACCTCTTGTGGACAGAACTACAAAGTCTCATGACATAAGGTGTGGCTGTGGTGCACAATGAGGCACTGGGAACAGTAATGCAACCTGGGAGAGTGGCTTTGGGGGCTTCTCCTGGAGGGGAAGGCCATTCTGTTAGTTGGAGTTCGGCTTCTGATCCTTGAGTCCTGGGCCAGCTGCTGGTGTAGGGGAGGAGCAGGTGCCAGAGGAGCGCTTACCTCCCAGGCCCAGCCCCCCCCAACCCCCACCACTTTGCTGCTCCTTTTTTTTTTTTTTTTTTTTTTTTTTTTAGAGAAAGAAAGAAAGAGAAAGAAAAAGGGGGAGAGAGAACAGGAGTCTTGCTCTATTGCCCAGGCTGGAATGCAATCTAAAAATCGGTAATAAAAACCTCTTTTATGCCGATAATTGTACTTAACAAAGAGACAGGAAGGAATAAGGGAAGAAAATAACAAACAGCCAAACAATATTTCATTTAAGTCTGTGAGATACTATGCAAATGCTAAAAAGTGATTTAAAGCTGCTCTTTCACTGGATGGGCTCAGCTGTGCTGGCGCTGGGTCTGTGTCCACCTGGCTCTCAGAAGATTTGGAGAAGAGGAGACTGCTCTCTGAAAGCTGATTTAAAGGAAGCAGGGCATGTTGGCAGAATATTCATTTTATTATTATTATTCTCAGTTGCCTCATCCTACTTATTTCACAGGGCTATTGGGAGGATGGAAGGAGATGTTATGCATGTATAAAACTTTTAGCGTAGAACCTGACAAATAGAAAGTGCCCATGGAATTTTAGTTAGAGACTCTCTTTTCCCTCAAGAGTGACTCTAAAACACACTGTTTGCCTCCTTTTCCCACTCAGCCGTTGACTCTCTTCCTAGCCTTACTTAAACTTCATGCCTAGAACTTTTTGTAATTATTTTTGGAATTGTGGTTAAAAAAATACATAACGTTAAAGTTACCACTTAGTGTCCATCAGTGGATAAAGAAACTCGGGTGTATATATGCAAATGAATACTGTTCAGCCTCAAAAGAGAAGGGAATCCTGCCATTTGCAGCGACATGGATGACCCTGTAGGGCATTATGTTAAGTGAAATAAGCCAGACTCAGAAAGACAAGTACCACGTGATCTCACTTATGTGTGGAATCTAAAAGACAAACTCTTACAGGCAGAGTGTTGGATAGTGGTTACCAAAGGCAGGGCAGGTGGCACTGGGCAGATGTTGGCCAAAGGATACAATATTTCACTTAGAAAGGAGGAGTAAATTCAAGAGAGCCATTGTACAACAGCATGGTGATTACAGTTAATAACAATATATTGCATACTTGAAAATTGCCGAGAGAATAGCTTTTAAGTGTTTTCACCACAAAAAACAAGTATGTGAGGTAATACATATGTTAATTAGCTTGATTTAGCCATTCCCCAATGTATACATGTATCAAAGCATCATATATACCTGCTGGGTGTGGTGGCTCATGCCTTTAATCCCAGCACTTTGTAATGTCAAGGCAGGTGGATTTTTTGAGCTCAGGAGTTCAAGACCAGCCTGGGCAACGTGGTGAATCCCCATCTCTACAAAAAATACAAAATATTAGTCAGGTGTGGTGGCGCATGCCCATAGTCCCAGCTACTCAGGAGGCTGAGGTGAGAGAATTGCTTGAGCCTCGGAGGCAGAGGTTGCAGTGAGCCGAGATCATGTCACTGCACTCTAGCCTGAGTAACAGAGACCCTATCTCAAAAAAAAAGGCATCATACATACTATAAATATATACAATTAGTACATTCACATTGTTGTGCAACCAATCTCCAGAGCTTTTTTGTCTTGCAAAACTGAAATTCTGTACCCATTAAATAATAACTTCCCACTTTCCATTTACCCCTAACTCCTTCCTAATTTGTTTCTATAAATTTGACTATTGAAAGCAGCAAATGCCTGGAGGAGGAAGATAGTAGTTCTCTGATTCTACCACTGACTTAGAAAAGCCTGCAGAATGGGTCTGGGTTCTGAGTATTCCCCAGTAATCCACATGTGTAGTGTGGGTGTGGGGTCCAGGCCATATGGCTGACAGGAAGGGGGTAATGTGTGCTTCCCACCAGAAACGAGCCCCAGAATCCACAGCTCCCAGGCCTCAGCCCATGGTTCTTTGTACCCTCCACCCTTCCCCAGGTACAAGCCTCGAGAGAAGCTGAAGGTGAATTTTGGCACTCCTGAATTCCTGGCCCCAGAAGTCGTTAACTATGAGTTTGTCTCGTTCCCCACGGACATGTGGAGTGTGGGAGTCATCACCTACATGCTGTGAGTGCTTAGCAGCCTGGCTCTGAAGTGGGGACGGCGGTTATTTGTTTTCCCTTGGGTAATCTTAGAAGCAAAATTTTGAGCACCAGTAGTCTATTTGGGAAGTGTCCCCAGGAAACCCCAGTAGAGGAATAGGGTAGTGAGATGGGGAAAGAAAAGAGCTGGCGAAGGGTATCTTATCAAGCCAGTTACCATATTTACAAGGCTGTTGTATTTCCAAGTTATCATTGTAGTAGTTTAATATTGAAAAAAAGGTGAGATGTGCCAATATGATTCCCTGGAACAAAGGTCTAAAGGCCTGTTTCTTGGTGACGAAGGCCTACTTGGGCTTCAGCAGCTGTATCAAAGTTATGGGTTGAGCTAGGCATAGTGGCTTATGCCTGTAATCCCAGCACTTTGTGAGGCCAAAGTGGGAGGATTGCTTGAGCCCAGGAGTTCAAGACCAGCCTTGGCAACATAGGAGACTCTGTCTCTACCAAAAACAAAAATTAGCTGGGCACGGTGGTACGTGCCTGTAATCCCAGCAGTACTAGGAAGACTGAAGTGGGAAAATTGCTTGAGCTTGGGAAGTTGCATTCCAGCCTGGGTGACAGTGCAAGGCCACGTCTCAAAAAAAAAAAGTTATGGCTTGAGCCATTGAATTTTTTGATACTGAGACATAAAAGTAGTAACTGAAAATAACAAAGGTATTCATGACCCAGGAGTAAGGCCCAGTTGTGGGCAACTAGAGTTTCATTCTGCTGGGGAGCCCCAGAATCTATCATGGAATACTCCCTGAGAATTATTTAATAGCCGGGGAGGGAGTTGGAGTATTTATACATGAACTCTTATCTATTATTGCTTGTGGACTAATGGAGATGGGGTGGAATGGATTTCCTGATACTTCTGGGTGAGTAAAGCAAACTTCAGCTGGAGAGAAAGCCCTCCAGCAAAGACATACAGGTGCTTTGGTACAAAGGGAGCTGGATCATGCCTATAATCCCAGCACTTTGGGAGGCTGTGGTGGGAGGATTGCCTGAGCCCAGGAGTTCGAGGCTGCAATGAGCAATGATTGCACCACAGCACTCCAGCCTGGGTGACAGAATGAGGCCCTGCATGAAGACAAAACAAAATAAAAACCCAAATGAGGCTGGAGTGGGTAAGGGGTAAGGAATGGGAGTGGGCAGGGCAGGACGTCCTTTGCCGCATCATGGAACCCTTGTGCTCCCTATTTTCTACTCTCCTCCACTATGGACTTCCCTTGGCTGCTTCCTCAGAGGCAAAGTCATGTTTTGCTTCTGGTCTTCTGATTATTGTGCAACTGCTACGCACTGTCCCGGCACTCAGATGTGTGAGCTGCACCAGGCTGGGGAAGTTCAGAGACCTGAGGCCAGCCATCAGGGTGTCCTGCCTCTCTACCCTCACTCTAGTGGGAGCCTAATAAAGCCCATTTTCCTTTGGCCTGGGGCCTGGGTAGCATCTAAACAAGCCTGGTTGTCTCAAGGACATGGAAGGCCATTTCTGTTTCTAAAATGAAATCAATATGGACTTGATAATTGGGCATACCAAGTTGGGCCCTAATTCTACTCTTTACTTCAGTAATGAGAGGAAAAGAGGTGCGCACAAGAGGGGACTTAACTCCAAACGCTCTTCTTGCCTCAGAATTTTAAATCCTTCTGCTCCTCCCTTTAATGAACACATTGGACTCCATCCTGTGCAGAAGTAGTGGAGGTGCTTTTCTTTTGAACCCCCTTGGTTCTGGCTAGGTTCACTTGAACTCTGTAAGCTTCACTATTCTGCCGATGCAGGTTGGCAAATGTGGCCTCCACCTACTGATGGTCCTTTCTCTCTTCTATAGACTCAGTGGCTTGTCCCCATTTCTAGGGGAAACAGATGCAGAGACCATGAATTTCATTGTAAACTGTAGCTGGGATTTTGATGCTGACACCTTTGAGGGGCTCTCGGAGGAGGCCAAGGACTTTGTTTCCCGGTTGCTGGTCAAAGAGAAGAGGTACCCTTCATTGCTTGTCACTCATGGGCCCTTCTGATGGAAATCCTGGGTCTGGGAGCTGAGCAGGACTACTGACCGTGAAGATCCGTCTTCCTGTGGATGAATTCTGTTCAAGATTTCTTAGTTTGCTACTTCTTTGGAACAATAAAGGAACAGAGAAAGGGACAAAGGAAATCAATGAAACAACAAACAAGTAGGGGCATAAAATATAGTTTTAGAAAAGAAGCATATATAAATTGGTTCGATCTGCAAGTTAATCACCTGTCATAGGCTAAGGTTGAAAAAAAGTTGAGATGCAGATGTTATTTCCAGAATAAAGATCTAAATACCTTGTTTCTTGGTGAAGAAAATCTGTTTAGGCTTTAGCATCTATATCAAAGTCATGGGTCAAGCCATTGAGTTTTTTGATACTCAGACATAAGGTAACAACTGGACATAACCCAAAGTATTAATGACCCAAGGCTAAGGCCCAAGAGTCTAGGCTCTAAGACAGCTTGTATTTTCCTGACCTTTACAGTCTTTTTTTTTGACTGTGAAAAGTTATGTGAGAGGAAAAAAATTCTAAGTCAGATGTACAAGTTGCCTTTATTCTCTGTAAGAAGAAAAAAGCTTCCTTCAAATTTCTTGTTCTTTTGCTTCTTAAGAACAATTTTAGCCACAGCTAGCCTTCTTACCGCTCTGCCTCAACTTCCCAGCCCCCTCTGGGAGGTGGTTCCTTCTAGAATCACTGGAATATGTTCCCGCTATAGAGGTCAGAGAACATTTTGCTGACAACCTTCTGGTACTTTGAAGGCAGGGAATTTTAGATACAAGGAGTTCCCTTTTTGGTACATGGCATGCATCTGCCTAAATGATTAATCTGTTCCACTGACTCAGGCTTCCTAACCAACTGAACAGATTTTTGAACTAGAAAAGCCAACTTCAACTAAAAGTCTTAACTGCTCTTTGATTTCACAGCTGCAGAATGAGTGCCACACAGTGCCTGAAACATGAGTGGCTGAATAATTTGCCTGCCAAAGCTTCAAGATCCAAAGTTCGTCTCAAATCGCAACTGCTGCTGCAGAAATACATAGCTCAAAGAAAATGGAAGGTATTTGGTTTTTCTCTTAGTAAAGGTGGAATTTGTCATCTGAATCCATCCTTTGAAAACCCTGTAGCTAAGTTTTTTTTTGTTGTTTGTTTTGTTTTTTATAGACAAGAGTCTTGCTCTATTGTTCAGGCTGGAGTATAATGGCATGATCATGGCTCACTCTAACCTTAAACTCTGGGGCTCAAGCAATCCTTCCACCTCAGCCTCCTAAGTAGCTGGGACTACAAGCATGTACTACCATGCCTCACTAACTTTTCTATTTTTTTGCACAGACGGGGTCTTGTTAAGTTTCCTAGGATGGTCTTGAACTCCTGGCCTCAAGCAATCCTCCTGCCTCAGCCTCCCAAAATGCTGGCATTACAGTCCTGAGCCACTACACCCAGCCTGTAGCTAAGTTTTTACTTACATGGTGATTCTAAACAGAAAGGTTATTTAGGGGAAAAAATCTTTCTCATGTCAAAAGCTGCTAGCTTGATCTAAAAATGTCACAGAACGAAAATAACTGGCTAAAAGCTACATTTGGTTTGTGCTTATATGGACACTTGAAGTGACAGAATGAAGCTTAAGCATATGCTTCAGTGGCAATCACAGTGAAGCTCATGAACTAACTGCTTAGAGCTTGAGGGCCAATTCCTCCACATTTCAGAAATAAGAGATAAGAAAGCTCTATTAAGCTTTTAAAGCTTTATAATTTTGTTTACAACAGAATTGTTTAGTACCATGGACATAAAATCTTAAAAGCAACTGTGATCCAGAGAAGTGGCTTCCGACAATTTAATATGGACTTAGATCCTCACTGGGGATCCAAAAACATAAACGAAACCCTTTATGTATGGAGCCAGTACACCAGTATACATATACTTGTACACACATACCAGGAAACACATCTACACACACACACACACACACACACACACACACACAAATTTGACTAAGCCAGGCGTGGTGGCCTGCATGTATAGTCCCAGCCATTTGGGAGGCTGGGTGGGGAGGATCACTTGAGCTCATGAGTTTGAGGCTGCAATGAGCCATGATCACGCCAGTGCACTCTAGCCTGGGTGATTTTTTTTCTTTTCTGTTTAAAAAAAAAAAAATCACAACATTTTCTCTAACGGAGTATGATGTATTCTGATATTTTCTATTCTATGCCACTTGGTTTTATTTTAAAAATGCTGTTTGCAACCCACCAATTTGATTTCATGACCCATTGCTCAGTTGTGAATCACAATCTGAAAAACACTGTTCTATCAAAGCATGATGTAGGCTGATAAAAAATAAAAATAAGACACTGTTCTTGGGTGCGCCATTTTTCATGTGAAAAGCGGAGGATAAGCCTGGGTAACATAGTGAGACCATATCTCTACAAACAAGACAAAAATTAGCCAGGTGTGGTGGCGCTTGCCTGTAGTCCCAGCTACTTGGGAGGCTAAGGTGGGAGGATTGCTTGAGCCCAGGAGGTGGAGGTTGCAGTGAGCCAAGATCACGCCACTGCACTCCAGCCTGGGCAACAAATCAAGACCCCCATCTCAAAAAAAGAAAAAGAAGAAAGAAAAAAGGAAGGAAGGAAAGAAGGGAGGAAAGGAGGGAGGGAGGGAGGAAGGAAGGAAGGAAGGAAGGAAGGAAGGAAGGAAGGAAGGAAGGAAGTCAGGATGATGTATAGTCCCACTTGATATTTATTCCAAACATGCCCCTGAAAGTCATGTGACTATTCTATAATTATTTTAGAAACTTGTCTCCCTTAGGTTAAAAGTTTTAAACCAACCCAAGCAGCTAGACTCATTAAATCCTTTTACTGTTTCTTCATAAAGCAACTTGTCTAAAATACATGCCTTTTCTTTTCTTTTATTCTCTCCTTGCTTCAAGAAACATTTCTACGTGGTGACTGCTGCCAACAGGTTAAGGAAATTTCCAACTTCTCCCTAATCTTCAACTCTGCTGCTCCAATGGGTCCAGAAATTACTGAGGCCAGTGGTGAAGTGAAGAGATGACTCAAAAAGTTAAATAATTTGGCTTTTTGCTATTACTGATTACACTTATTTTGTAAAGATGATTATGGCTGCTGCTTTCCTTGTGGATGAAAAGTGGCTGTAAAGAAGCTTCCTAAGAACGCTTTTTTCTGCCTTGTAAGATCACTGTGTGAAATGCTGTGTGTATCTTTCAAGTATACCTACTTTTGGTGGTAAGTGTAGGGATGCTTTAGGGAGGTACTTTGCGTATGTCGAATTTAAATTCTAAACTCACACTGATTAAAGAACTCGGTAGACTACTTTGCAGGGTCATGTTATTCAGTATTATCTCCTCCAGTACAAAGAATTAGAATTTTGATTTGTTCAGGTGTGAGCTGACATTTTATTGTACTACCCCATTCTTGTGTCAAGTCACGTGAATTTAGGACAGTGATCTTCAAGCTTGACAGTGATCTTCAAACTTGCTTTAACTTATGCTCCATTTTGAGAATCAGCATCATTTGAAATGTCAAAGTATGTCAACTGTCATAGCCAAATCAGAGCAGTGATCATTTTGAGTGTGTGTTTTTCTTTTCTTTTTTAAGACGAAGTCTCACTCTGTTGCCCAAGCTGGAGTGCAATGGTGTGATCTTGGCTCACTGCAACCTCCACCTCCTGGGTTCAAGCGATTCTCCTGCCTCAGCCTCCCGAGTAGCTGGGATTACAGGCGCCTGCCATTATGCCGGGCTAATTTTTGTATTTTAGGTAGAGAGAGGGTTTCACCATGTTGGTCAGATGGATTTCGAACTCCCAACCTCAGGTGATCCACCCACCTTGGCCTCCCAAAGTGCTGGGATTACAAGCATGAGCCACTGCACCCAGCACTGAGTGTGATTTTTAAAGCTCCACACAACTCCACCTCTCTCCTAATTCTGCCCTGTCCTAACCCCTCTTTCTTGGTTATAAATTTCTGGTCTTGTAAATCTGGAAGCTGATAGGCAATTTATGAAAGAGATAAGAATGTAATGAGGCTCAGCTTTCTGAGAAGAACACATCATGAGATATAAAGGAAAGCTGCTCTTCTGCTGCCTAAGAGTATACCATTCTCAGTGTTATCACTTGACATGCACACTTTCTATTTACATGTAAAGTTGACCCTTGAACATGGGTTTGAACTGCATGGGTCGATTTATACGTGGATTTTCTTCTGCCTTTGCCACCCCTGAGATAACAACACCATGCTCTCCTCTTCATCCCACTCTGCAGCCTACTCAACAGGAAGATGATGAGGATGAAGACCTTTCTGATGATCCACTTCCACATAATGAATAGTAAATATATGTTCTCCTCCTTATGATTTTAATAACATTCTCTTTTCCTTAGCTTAATACAGTATATAAGCCAGGCATGGTGGCTTACACCCATAATCCCAGCACTTTGGGAGGCTGAGGTGGGCAGATCATTTGAGGTCAGGAGTTTGAGACCAGCTGGCCAACATGGTGAAACCCCATCTCTACTCAAGAGGCTAAAGCAGGAACCCGGCAGGCAGAGGTTGCAATGAGCCAAGATTGTACCACTGCACTCCAGCTTGGGCAACAGAGCAAGACTCCGTATAGAAAAAAAAACCATAAATATATAAATAAAAAAATATATATATATATATAGTTATGTGCATACACACACACACACACACACACAAACACACATATGTATGTGTGTGTATGGGTTTTAACTGACTGTTTATATTATTGATAAGGCTTCCAGTCAACAGTAGGCTATTAGGAGTTAAGTTTTTGGGGAGACAAAAGTTATACCCAAATTTTCAAATCCAAGGGGGTAGGCACTCCTAACCCCCACATTGTTCAAGGGCCCACTGTACATTTAAACACTTTTCTACATGCATTAGAGTAGCCATGTCATCCCTTTACTGAAATGACACTGTTCTCAACATGGCAAACAACTAACACTTTTTTTTTTTTTTTGAGACAGAGCCTCACTCTGTTGCCCAGGCTGGAATGCAGTGGTATGATCTTGGCTCACTGCAGCCTCTGCTTCCTGGGCTCAGGCGATCCTGAGTAGCTGGGACTATAGGTGCCTGCCATCACACCCAACTAATTTTTGTATTTTTAGTGGAGACAGGGTTTTGCCATGTTGCCCAAACTGGTCTCGAGCTCAAGCGATCCACCTGCCTCAGTCTCCCAAAGTGCTGGGAGTACAGGCGTGAGCCACCACACTCAGCTTCAACTAATACATTTACAAACTTGTATACATGTATATTTAGATACTTCATCAACTTATAAAATGGTTAAAAGGAGTACTTTACTTACTGAAAATTATACAGTCTTTTTAATTTCCTTGCTTCTACATGATTTTTGTACTATTCTCATTTTTTTCTTGATGAGCAATTTTATTTTATTTTATTTTTTGAGAGAGAGTCTTGCTCTGTCGCCCAGGCTGGAGTGCATTCTTTGCTCACTGCAACCTCTGCCTCCCGGGTTCAAATATCTTATGCCTCGGCCTCCCAAATAGTTGGGATTACAGGCATTTGCCACCACGCCCAGCTAAATTTTGTATTTTCAGTAGAGATGGGGTTTCACCATGTTGGCCAGGCTGGTCTTGAACTCCTGACCTCAGGTGATCCACCTGCCTTGGCTTCCCAAAGTGCTGGGATTACAGGCATAAGCCACCATGCTAAGCCTTGGGTAAGCAGCTTTAGTCAATGTAGTGACTTTTAGATTTTAATTAGACATGCAACAGGTTCACCACCTTTCAGGACTTTTATCCCATAACAGAGGCTCTTTTTTTTTTTTTTGACAGAGAGGTAGGCAGGTGGAGACGTTATCCTGCTGCTGCAGTTCTCAAGTTGTTAAGTTTCCTCTGTAAGGCTAACCCTTGTTGGGAACTAAGAGTTTCAGTACTAGCAAGTCTAGGTCTGCTCCAATTTGGTCAGCTGAAGAATGGACATCAGAAAACAGCTGTTGGAAGCTGTCCTTTGATGAGACAGTGACAGTGATTTGGTAAAATGTCTTATTTTTTAAATGTCAGTTATCTTTCTTTAAAAGGTTTTTTGAGTGCAGCCTCCAGAAGGAGCTAGAGTATATTTTGTAGTTCTATTATGGTTCATACCTTCTTTTGGACTTAAGATTCTGGGGAATGCTATGAATCATCTCCCCAGAAAAAGGTAGTTAATTACCATATCTAGAGCAGCACTGCTCAGCAAAAATATAATACAGGCTATACACGTAATTTAAAAAATTTCTAGTAGCTTCTCTAACAAAACCCATTGAAAATCAATTTTAACAATTTATATAACAATGTATTTTAAAATTTTCAATATGTAATCAATATAAAATTGAGATATTTTACCAGCTACTAGGGAGGCTGAGGCAGGAAAATCACTTGAACCCAGGAGGTGGAGGTTACAGTGAGCCAAGATTACACCACTGAACTCAGCCTGGGTGATGAACAAAACTCTACCTCGAACAAAAAAAAAAATTGAGGTATTTTGTATTCTTTTTCTCATACTAAGTCTCCAAAATCTGATATATTTTACGTTTTAAAAACACATATCAAGGCTGGGCGCGGTGGCTCACATCTGTAATCCCAGCACTGTGGGAGGCTGAGGTGGGTAGATTGCTTGAGGCCAGGAGTTAGAGACCAGCCTCACCAACACGGTGAAACCCCATATCTAAAAATACAAAAATTAGCTGGGCATGGTGGCACACACCTGTAATCCCAGCTATGTGGGAGGCTAAGGTACAAGAAACACTTAAACAAGAGGCGGAGGTTGCAGTCAGCTAAGATCACACCACTGCACTCCAGCCTGGGTGGCAGAGCAAAACTTTGCCTCCAGGGGAAAAAAACAAACCTGGGGGGCGGGGGGGGAGGGAACCAGTCAATTCAGTTGCTAGGTTTTCATCAGACATACTTAATCTATATTTAGATTTCCTAAAACTTACTGTGGAAAAATATATTTACATACTCAAGTTGTTTGAAACACACCTAACAGTTTTCCAGCAACTGAAGTATCACTCTTACCAGAATTAAAATTAAACAGAAATTCAGTTCTGCAGTTGCACTAGCCACATTTTAAATGTTTAATAGCCACATGTGGTTAGTGGCATATATGGGACAGGGCAGATCTAGAGAGAATCCTGTACCTATTAATTTTATTTTATTTTCCCTTTATGCTGTTATTCCTTACCTAGAGAAATGATTTCCCTCCAAAGTTCATTTGAAGAGTCTGTTTACACCAGGATCACACAAGTGAGCTATGTGGATTTTAGCATCCCTGATCTGAAATTTGGTTTTATGAAGCTTGAGTTTTTCTGGATATTTTTAGTACTTTGCTGGTGTGTACTTACTTAGCTCAAACATTTGATTGCAATTGTGTTGGATCAACTATTTCTAATGGGACTTTTCCATTTGCGTGTATAGTCACTGGAAAATGCTGGGCAGAGAAACTCTAAAAGGTAGTTGGGGCCCACTTTTTCACCTTTCAGACTGGTAAAGAATTGGTGAGGGTGTGGGGAAAATGGCATTCTCCCACCTTTGATGGATATGTATCCAAATAAAAGTCATGCCCATGCTTTCTTTCATCCAGCAATTTTATTTCTAGAAATTTATCCCTCCATACTTAAACAACTGTATGGAGATTTATGCAAAATGTTTACTATAGCACTATTGCTAAAGGACCAATAGAAACAACCAACATATGTCTATTTGTTTGAGTTTAGTTGAATGAATTTTGCCACATCCATATAGTGGAATACCTCGCAGCTGTTACAGATAGATCTAGATACACTGAAAGCCATCTTTCCTTTAAAAAAAAATTATAAAATGTATATATGGTATCGTCCCACTTATGAAGAGACATGCTTACATATACATAAAAAAACTGTAGGATATGCAAGAAACAGTGGAGTGTGAAAAGTGGGTGACTGGGAGAAGGGGAATTCCACTTTTCATTTATCTTTCTGAACCCTTTGAATCTTTTTTTTTTTTTTCCCTTATAATGAGCCTGTATTACTTTTTTTTTTTCTTTTTGAGATGGAGTCTTGCTCTGTCACCAGGCTGGAGTGCAGTGGCGTGATCTCAGCTCACTGCAACCTCTGCCTCCTGGGTTCAAGCAATTCTCCTGCCTCAGCCTCCTGAGTAGCTGAGATTACAGGTGTGCACCAGTCCAAGTCCCAAAATGGAAGAACTTGAAGTCCGACATTTGAGGGCAGGAAGCATCCAGCACGGGACAAAGATGTAGACTGGGAGGCTAGGCCAGTCTCTCCTTTTCATGTTTTTCTGCCTGCTTTATATTCTCTGGCAGCTGACTAGACGGTATCCACCAGAATAAGGGTAGATCTATCTTTCTCAGTCCAGACTCAAATGTTAATCTACTTTTGGCAACACCCTCACAAGACACACCCAGGATCAATACTTTGTATCCTTCGATCCAATCAAGTTGACAGTATTAACCATCACAGCATCCATCACTGGGATTGTAATTGTGTTGGAAAACTGTAGAAAGACTTCCTAGGAGGGCACTTGGGCAAGACTGCTTTAATTCCTTCACT